AGCTCAAATATAATAAAATACTTACTTGGTGATTTAGAGTTTGATATAGTAATTAACAGTGTTTTAAAATTCGGCCCGACCCGACAAGTCAATCCAGTGACCTGGCAAACCGGTCCCCTAACCGGGCCAATTCTAATAAAAAATCGTTTGTGTACAGAATTCGGCATAAACTCGTTGAACCGGCCAAAACCCAGTGAACCATTGCGAACCAGATGAATTTATTAGAATCGGCCGGTTTAAGTTGATTTCTAAAATCTGACATTTTTTTCCCCTTTTATTTTTTTTTTCCCTTTTGTTTGTTCATTTGTTGCCCTAACTAAATCAATCCCACCATTTCCAAACCAAAGTCGCACACCACATCGCCTCTCCACCACCAACCGAACCGACTGACCACCACCAATTGATTGACCACCACGGCACCACCAACTGACTGACCACCAAAGCAGCAGTGACTAACCAGTGAGTCAGTGACCACCACCTCGCCTCCTCCAGAACAGCGACTGGCCACCATCAGCAGCGATCAGCATCCAGTTCCTTCTCTTTCTCTCTCTCTCCATTGCAGTGACTCCATTAACTGTAAGTCCTTTTGACCCACTTATATATATATGGTTTATGGTTGGCGTTTGAGGTTTTACGTGCAGAATCTTTATTTGTTTTAACACAAGTGCTCTTTGAAATATAGTGAGAATGAAATGGGTTTTGGTGCAATTGGAGCTCAAGTTTGATTTGTGTTTTGTTATGTTGAAAACCCGCTTGAGATGTTTATTTACTTGTGGATTGTGATATGATCAAATATACACTGACAATTTGTTTGATGATATGATCAAATATACACTGATAATTTGTTTGATGATCAAATATACACTGACAATTTGTCTGATGATATGATCAAATATACTTGTGGAATTTTCTCTATTTAACTTTATATGTTTGATATTATTTTTATAATTATTGGAATTTTTTTAGTCTATTTATAATTATTTTATAATTTTTTATTATATTACTGGTTGAACCAATGACCCAACGGTTGAACCAGTGACCCATTGATTTGGTCCTTTCACCGGAGTTGATGTCCGGGCCGGGTTTTAAAACATTGGTAATTAGTGATTAATTCTAATTATATACATACTTTGATTAACACGACATTCCAGCTTAACACGACTCGGAACGAGACAGTTTGCCTGGTTAGCAAGTATGAGGNAAGTCAATCCAGTGACCTGGCAAACCGGTCCCCTAACCGGGCCAATTCTAATAAAAAATCGTTTGTGTACAGAATTCGGCATAAACTCGTTGAACCGGCCAAAACCCAGTGAACCATTGCGAACCAGATGAATTTATTAGAATCGGCCGGTTTAAGTTGATTTCTAAAATCTGACATTTTTTTCCCCTTTTATTTTTTTTTTCCCTTTTGTTTGTTCATTTGTTGCCCTAACTAAATCAATCCCACCATTTCCAAACCAAAGTCGCACACCACATCGCCTCTCCACCACCAACCGAACCGACTGACCACCACCAATTGATTGACCACCACGGCACCACCAACCGACTGACCACCAAAGCAGCAGTGACTAACCAGTGAGTCAGTGACCACCACCTCGCCTCCTCCAGAACAGCGACTGACCACCATCAGCAGCGATCAGCATCCAGTTCCTTCTCTTTCTCTCTCTCTCCATTGCAGTGACTCCATTAACTGTAAGTCCTTTTGACCCACTTATATATATATGGTTTATGGTTGGCGTTTGAGGTTTTACGTGCAGAATCTTTATTTGTTTTAACACAAGTGCTCTTTGAAATATAGTGAGAATGAAATGGGTTTTGGTGCAATTGGAGCTCAAGTTTGATTTGTGTTTTGTTATGTTGAAAACCCGCTTGAGATGTTTATTTACTTGTGGATTGTGATATGATCAAATATACACGGGCAATTTGTTTGATGATATGATCAAATATACACTGATAATTTGTTTGATGATCAAATATACACTGACAATTTGTCTGATGATATGATCAAATATACTTGTGGAATTTTCTTTACGTAACTTTATATGTTTGATATTATTTTTATAATTATTGGAATTTTTTTAGTCTATTTATAATTATTTTATAATTTTTTATTATATTACTGGTCGAACCAATGACTCAACGGTTGAACCAGTGACCCATTGATTTGGTCTTTTCACCGGAGTTGATGTCCGGGCCGGGTTTTAAAACATTGGTAATTAGTGATTAATTCTAATTATATACATACTTTGATTAACACGACATTCCAGCTTAACACGACTCGGAACGAGACAGTTTGCCTGGTTAGCAAGTATGAGGGCACTAGAAAGATGCATGCAGTGGGGAGGAGACACCTTAAATGGAGAGCAATGTAGGGTTCACCATTGCTTCTGAGTCTGTCTGCTAACTTCTTTGCAAGCTCTTCGATCTCCGGCGCGAATCGTAGCGCCTCATACATTGCCCTGCACCGGAGCCTTTGAATTGAATTTGGGACACCATTGTTGGCAAGGCGCGAGTCTGTGTGGGTGAAATCTATCACTTTTTGCCGTTTTAACAATGAAAGCATCTGTTCTCCATAGTATGTGGCCTGCATAAAAAAAATTTCCCACTTCAATTTTTTTAGCTAAAATGCAATGTCACTCCTAATTGCTGGATTGACAGATTGACAGTATGGATCAGTATTAGTCGGAGCTCGCAACTAATCCGACAAATGTGATGAATTAAGTCAATAAATTAAGTATAAATAATATTATTGAGTAGNAATTTTCTTTACGTAACTTTATATGTTTGATATTATTTTTATAATTATTGGAATTTTTTTAGTCTATTTATAATTATTTTATAATTTTTTATTATATTACTGGTCGAACCAATGACTCAACGGTTGAACCAGTGACCCATTGATTTGGTCCTTTCACCGGAGTTGATGTCCGGGCCGGGTTTTAAAACATTGGTAATTAGTGATTAATTCTAATTATATACATACTTTGATTAACACGACATTCCAGCTTAACACGACTCGGAACGAGACAGTTTGCCTGGTTAGCAAGTATGAGGGCACTAGAAAGATGCATGCAGTGGGGAGGAGACACCTTAAATGGAGAGCAATGTAGGGTTCACCATTGCTTCTGAGTCTGTCTGCTAACTTCTTTGCAAGCTCTTCGATCTCCGGCGCGAATCGTAGCGCCTCATACATTGCCCTGCACCGGAGCCTTTGAATTGAATTTGGGACACCATTGTTGGCAAGGCGCGAGTCTGTGTGGGTGAAATCTATCACTTTTTGCCGTTTTAACAATGAAAGCATCTGTTCTCCATAGTATGTGGCCTGCATAAAAAAAATTTCCCACTTCAATTTTTTTAGCTAAAATGCAATGTCACTCCTAATTGCTGGATTGACAGATTGACAGTATGGATCAGTATTAGTCGGAGCTCGCAACTAATCCGACAAATGTGATGAATTAAGTCAATAAATTAAGTATAAATAATATTATTGAGTAGTTATTAGATATTGCTCTAGGAGATAGCTTAAGGGGCAGTTTCATAACACTACTTAATGCTTAAAATTGAATATAATTAATATTTTAAGTATTTCTTAAAAATAGACTAATTTTTTAAGTAGCAAGTCACCTACTTATCACTTAATACTGAAATGATAGTTAGTAAAAATTTTATAAAATTTTTGTAATGGACAAATATATTTTTAATGCATTTTATACTCTTTAATTTTTCAATACCCTCCGTCCACAATCACCACAACACCACCGTTGTGTCGTCACCAGGCCCCCCACCGCTATCACCACAACTGTTATGCCACTATCATTGTGCTGTCTTCGCCACCACTAGTATTGTACCACCATCACCACCACAATGGTGGTGGTAGGAAAAAATAGTTATAGTGAGATAGTTAAAAAAAATCTAAAATTAGAATAATAATAATTTTTAAACTTTAGCTCTTTATATTTGTCTTTTAGTGGATATAAAACACTTTGCGAATTAAAAAATTCAACACTCAATACTTAAAATTCAGCATTCAACTTTCAATTTTATCAACACATCACTTAAATAGATAGTTTTTAAGGATTTTGAAGTACTAGCTCATGCAACAATTTTTTTGACCAAAAAAGACTTAGTTAGATTGATTTTATGAGCTTTTCTTTTTTACTTTTTTGTTTTTTTGGAGTTTTGTTGTGGATCCTGCATAATTTTTTAGTTTATTGTATTCATAAATTATTATTAGTGACTTAAAAAGTTTTGAAATTCATATTTTTGGAACTATTATATATAATCTATACATACATGTAATTATTATTATTTTTACAAAAAAGATATAACAAAAAGTAGAAAGTCACTTTAAAGTTTAAATGGATTTTTTCAACTTTTGTCGACTTTTAAAATAACACTCCAAATGATTTTGAGAGATTTTTTGACTTTGATTTTTTTTTGCCAAAATTTTCAAACCACAATTTTTAACATAAAAAAGTCAGCTCTAAATAGACCCGATATGTTTTTTTAAAGTAAAATTCATTTAGCTATGGTTAAGAAAGAAAGAAGAAGAAGGGTTTAACATGCCTTGGACCAGGAAACTGGAGCCTTGGCAAGGGGTTTCACAGCTGCAAGGTGTGGAGGAAGAGATTCAGCCACTTGAATATCATCTTTTAGAGCTTCCATGAAGTGCCTCCAGTCGAAGATATCTTTAAAATCACTGGAAACAATCAGATTCAGAAACAATTTAAGCAGTATTGCTTTTTCTTTTTAACTAGAAGTATTTGAGGTCCTGATCTTAGAATTTGACCAGCATGATTGAGAAGTTCACACACCTAGAGTCGGTCCAAAAAGACTTGTGATCTAAGGAGGGAAGAACCAGTGTAGCATTCATTATTTTAGCTATGGCAACCATGTCACTTATCTGCATATATTCAAAATCTGACAGATTAGATATAAGTTAGAGACGATGAGAGAGATTCCGTGGAGGCGAAAAAGTCCCGGGAATAAAAAAGTTCACTCCCTCATGCTCTGAGACTCTTTAACTTCGATTGAACAAAAAAAGTTCCACTTGTGAAATTGTACCGAAATTAAAACCTGGCAACCCGCCCAGAGTTTCATGATAAAACTTTTCTTGGCGTAGATGCTTACCCCAGTTTTCATTTGATTCAATCCACCATTTGCATGAACAAGAATATGCCCATTTGTAGCAGATCCATTTCCTATATGAAAAAAGAAAAATTCCCAATATGGCCCAAAATAAGTGGAGGTAGACTTTGAGTCCAACTAAAAAGATTCCAAATGACTTTTTTTTTATCACAATAAGAGATTTGTTGAAATGCGTATAAACTGATTCATCTATTTCTAATGCCAATACCAAAAAAACATTCAAAATAGAAACTTTTAAACGTACTCATTTCAGCACTGGATCGATCAATGCATTTATAGTAGTTGTCACTTCTTGGCCTTCTCCAAATTTCTGGAGTCTAACATGTAGAAACCAAAAGAAAAATTGGTATCAGAACCTTAAGGTAGGATTATAGCCCATGGTTGAATTGGGATGGAATTGATATATATATCGGTGTAAGTAACCTTCTGAATCAGTTATATTCATATTGGAAAAATGTTGAGAATAAGATATTTTGAAAAATCGATTAAGTCTCCCTTAGAGTTAGAGGTGTTCTAGGGGCGTATATGATAGAATAAACAACAGTACGAATAGAAAATAAAAAGATTTATACAAGTTATACACATTTCATGAAAAATCTTTAGGTACGAAGGAGTTATTAATTATACCTGTTCGTGCTCCATCAAAATATTGTGTGACATCTCCGAAGGATCTGTGACCACCGGACGTATCAAAATATGACTGCTTGTTTTTGCATTGACTGCAAGAAAGCTACTCATGAGCATGAACTTTACAAACATGGTGGAAACCACCAGCAACATAAAAGCTCCAAGAATCCAACGGCTTAGATTCTTCCCTGCAGGTCTCAAAAATTTCAGCGTAATATTCAATTTCCTACGTGACACCGAACACCAATTACCCACCAGAGAGCGGTGGTGGTTCTGCTGCTGCTGCGGCGTGTAATGGTGGTTATGTCCGCTGTTAATGTTACTGCTAACGATACCATCTTCTTCGGCCAACTCAACCGAATCTAATGCTCTCCTCCTGGTTGTGGTGGTGGTAGTGGTTGGCAGCAGGGGAGAGCCGGAGCTGGACTTGTCTCCGCTAGTGAACATGTTAATGGAAAAACCAAAAGCGAAAATTGCAGAGAAAATGTTAGAAGGTCAGAGAAAAAGAGAGAGACATTGCAGAGAATTGAAGCTTGTTTCCAAGGGAAAATAACGGCTTTTTTCCCATCCTTTTTATCTCTGTCAATACCCACTTCCATGTCTGGTTGGTTTTTCTGGGGTAATGGCCCCGCAATATATGGTTAAGCACCAGTCTCTCTCTCTCTCTCTCTCTCTCTCTCTCTCTCTCTCTCTCTCTCATGGTTTTATGTTGTTAACAAGCTAAAGAGAGGAGGATAGCCATTTTGGGGATGGAGTTCTACTCTACTGACTCTATTTTCAGATTTCGCCTGTTTATTTTTTAGTATTATACTTTTGAGTATTCTAATTATTATTTTTTTGCTATAATTTATTGTAGTTTAAACCAATTGTTTTATCTCTATTTCATTATTTGCAAGTAATTTTTTATTTCACAAATGGTAAATATCATCGTGTTTTCTTGAAAAAAAAATTGCTTTCGATTCTTAAATTTGAAAACATTATTAACTAGTACGTGACTCGGACTAATGGTAATATGACATTTTTTTTTTTTTTTTTTTTTTTTATCTTATTATTATCCAATAGATATACAACACACTTGTTCAACTCTAACACAAGTAACTTCTTATTCCAAATTTAGTTACCCAAAGAAAAAAAATGTTATTTGAAAATTTTCAGAGTCGTTTGATGGTTCGGAGAAGGGTCAATCTTCGACCAAAATATCAATAATCATCATATATTATTAATAAATTTATTTTTCTTTATAATATACTATTTTTTTCTCTTAAAAACATCACTTATTTTTGTGAAAATTGATTAAACGTCCAACTAGATATTTTTTTCAAGTTATTAAATCGATGAAAGATATTTTTTAAGGCATTTAGGATAGGTTAGGTATTTTTTTTTTAATTGACGAGCATACGTTTTTAGTGACTACCATCGATATTCTTTTTGAGAAAAATTAAAGAGTGTGTGAGATCACAGCATGGGGAAGTTGAAACTATTAAAGCCTTGCAATGAAGGAAATTGTGGTGTTTATGTGAGTGTGTGTAGGAAGCACAAAAGAAAATGTGTAAATAGGAGAGTTAATAGAGAAGACTTGGAGTATTAGGCTTAGATCTGCCAAACCACCTGAGATAATGCAGGTTGATGTTTGTGACTTTTGACAGAGAGAGAGAGAGAGAGAGAGAGAGGGGGGAGATGGGGACCTGGGATTCAAAATTCCAGTAAATGAAAGTTAATAACCTAATCCTAACCCTAATCCTAATTCTAATTCTTGGTTTCCCTACTTAATTTTCAAGAGGAGATTTTTCATTTGAGTAAATGCATAGAAAATATTAAGCATTAATATCACATGGTGAAACTACCGATTTGAAATTCTTCCATATAAATTAACTAGTTATTACTCGCGCCTGAAAGTACAGAATAATTAAAAAACGATCAACAGTAAAAACATTTGTGTTCACACCTAAAATAAAATCACAAACATAAAGGAGAAAGAAATATATTTAAGCACTGGTTGCAGTAGAGGTGAGTAGTGGTAGTAATGGTAGGAGGCGGCGATGATTGTAGTGGGTAGCGACAACTGTGGTGGTGGTGGTTGCGGTGATGGTGGTGGTAGGTTTTGGGTGATGATGGTAGTAATGACAGTCATGAATGACATTGGTGGTGGTGGTCCGTGTGGGTGTGGGTGGTGGTGGACGACGATGAGGGTGGTTTGCAATAGTGGTGGTGGGGCGATGATAGTGGTGGTGGTGGTGATGGTGGGCGGTGACGATGGTGGTAGTAGACGAGGACAGGTGCTTCTAAGTAACAATGTGATGGGTGGTGGTGAATGACGGTGGTGGTAGTTGGTGATGGTAAGTGTGGTGGGAGTGGGTGATATTGGCTAGCAACGACGAGTGGTGGTTTGTGGTAATGAGTGGCTGTGGGCAACAATGGTTGTGATAAGTGCTAATAGTGGACGAAGGTGGCAGTGAGATGATGGTGGTAGTTATAAATATAAGAATGAGATGACAATTGTGGTGGGTGGTGGGGGTCGACGATGGTGGTAGTGTTGGTGGTGGGTAGTGATGGTGGTGTTGATGAGGGGTGGGGGTGGGGCAATGATGGTAGGGGTGACGACAACGGTGGTGATGGAGGCAATAATGGTAGTGGTGAGGTGGTGGCGGTGTCGAAGGTGGTGATAGTGGTGATGGCCGTGGGGATGGTGATGGTGGGACAGTGGCGGTGGTGGTAGGGTGGCATAAGCGATAGTAATGGTGGTAGGGTGTCGGTGGTGGTGATGGTGGTTGATGGGCCAAGTCCAAAGGTCCAATTCATGTTATAAGCCTGGTCCGAGTTTTAAGGCTCAACTCCAAGAGGTTCACCAAGTTCAGTTCAATGTGATCGTTCTAGTCAAACTCATCAAGCTTAAGGAGTTACATCAATAAGGAGCATGCAAGGTCATTTGGGAGTCTCCTCTACACCACCAAGGGAGCGTCCAGGAGCCTTACCCCCGTCGCTTGGAGAGCATCATAAACTTCTTTGTCGTTGAGGAGAGCAGAGGTTGCCAAGCCATTTAATCATTATTAAAGTCACATCAATCTGTTATGACTATTAAACGACCCAGTTTCGTTATGACCGTTCTATTAGTTATGCAATTATTACACTAAGTCATTATAAATTGTAAGTCCCACCAATACTTGAGGGACATCAGACTCATTTTGAGCATTATTCTCTCCTCCCCTCTCAAAGCTTGTAATCTTGTACCCACCCTCCACACCGAAGATAATAAAATTCCGGCGACCTTATTATTGAAAGTGGACGTAGGTCATATTGATCAAACCACTGTAAACTTTGTTTTCTCTCTTTCTACTTTACTGCATTTTATACTACTTAATTGACAGATGGTATACAAACCAATTTAGTGTATCATCATTTTGGCGCCGTCTGTGAAAAACTGCAAAATTCTCACCTAACCATTTTATTTGCTCAATCAAAGTCAATCACCACAAGAACCATGACTCAGCACGAAGACAACCTACGAGAGAAGGAGGTTGCTCCTTTACCCGTCAATCCCATCCCAAATATTTGTGAATGTCAAATATACTCACACATAAATACTAATCAAACTATTTATAGAGAGGTCTTTTTTATTTGTGAATGTCAAATATACTCACACATAAGTACTAATCAGTACAATCTCATAGGTTTGAAAACAACCGGAATTTAAGCATCATTCGCATGAAATCCGACCACTAAGATATCACACAAAATAGGGTGTTTGAAATTCAAACAAAAAATTGCCCTAAAATCCATGAGATTTCAACCAAATCAAAAACACAAACAACTGAAAATTGTGAGAACCAAAAAATCTTTCATCTAAGTATTAATTGTACATACGTTGGAGCAGTATTGAAGTCTGACTGTCGACTTTGTCACCTGTAATCGTCGACAATAAAAAATGTGACATGGTAGTGTTAAATTACAATGTAACAACACAATAAACACTTTTAAATGTGCAATTACTTTTCTTGATTCCTACACAAATTAAATGATATGCTTGACACAGTGTGATATCACATAGTGTTTTTTAAGAACATGACGATGTTACATATAATGTAATACTAGACATTGAAATAAAAGAAGAAGATATATGTTTAAAATTCTAATATTCTGATCTATTAAAATCGGAAACCATTGATATAATAAAACAAATCCCATGAAAAATGGAACTGTCTAACTAAACAGTCCATAAATTATAAAAAATGGTATTTCTATTAAAATAGAAAAACGTTGATATAATAAAACAAATCCCACGAAAAAAGGAACTGCCAAACTAAACAGTTCATCAATATGAAAAATATTATTTTAGTAAAAAAATAATAATAATAAATTGTCATTGTGCATCTAGATACAATACATTTCCAACTAATAATACTTATCTACAATTTATTTTCAGCAAGGTATTTCTCCACAAATAAATAGTTTATGTGGTACCTATCCACAATTTTCCGCTTTTTCTATTTTCAATGTTAAACACGTTACTGTCTCTTATTCTCAACCCAGCCCAATTCCAAAACCCAAGTTAAAATAAAAACATGGGCCTGTAGGCCCATGCAATCTCATAGACCCAAACCCAACCTATCCCCCTCCAACCCTCCGTATAAATACTCACTATCATCACAATCGCACCTAGGTTTTAGCTTCCTTCTCCGCTGGCATTTCCGTGAGTTCATCAAACCCTCTCTCTACTCCGTCGAAAATGGTGAAGGGTCGTCAAGGCGAGCGTATCAGGTCTCAGATCATCTGAAAACCCTAGCTCTCTGTATGTAATACAGTCATATGTATATAGATATTCTCTAACCTTCTTTCTAATTTGTTTGTTTATTTTCAGACTCTACGTCAGGGGAACTATTCTCGGTTACAAGAGGTGACTATGGAAAATCATGATATATGATTTGTTTGTTTGTTTGCTTGAATGCTGAGAATTTGTACTGTTTGTGGATAGGTCGAAGTCGAACCAGTATCCAAACACCTCTTTGATTCAGATCGAAGGTGTTAACACGAAGGAGGAGGTAGCATGGTACCAGGGAAAGCGTATGGCGTACATCTACAAGGCCAAGGTCAAGAAGGATGGTTCACACTATCGCTGCATTTGGGGAAAGGTCATTAGGCCTCATGGTAACAGTGGTGTCGTGAGAGCTAAGTTCAAGTCCAATCTGCCCCCCAAATCCATGGTATATTTTAACGGTTTGGTTTGTACAGTAGCACTATGATGTATGCCTTTGATTGAGATGATTTACGTATGTGGATAGGTTAGGAAGTTTTGAGTTTTGATTTCCTTTTTTTTTTGTTTGCAGGGAGCTAGGGTTAGGGTGTTCATGTACCCAAGCAACATCTGAAGTACTTTCACTGTCTTTGAATGCTTCAAACTATGCTTCTTAGAATTTGGGTTTGAATGTAGGGCTTGCCTATATAATGATTTTTTGGGTGTTAAATATTATGATATGATGCATATAATGTATCTCTCTTCTTGTTGATTGTTCTCAAAAGAATTTATTGTATATAATGCCCATTGCCTGGAGTGTGACTTCACTGATCAGAACTTAACACCTGTGTTTTTTGCTGGTCGAATATGATTCTTTGCACATTCAAACAGTTTTATAGCTAAGAGATGACATCCTTAATTTGAAAGATAAATATGATTGTCTTATGAGGCACAACAATTTGAACTACCTCTGCTAGAACATGTCCTAGTCTAGTAGCTAAAGATGTGAAAACCTGTTTTTTACACTATTTTGGAGAATGATGGACTTGGAGTGATTTTAGATAACTACGCTCCTGAGTAGTAAGCCCATCCATAGATGAGTGCTCTCCCATTCCAATTTAGCATGGATTATTTGCCTTGCGTAGTTGGATCTAGATGAAATATATGTTTGTGCACATATTTTTTCACAATTGCCAATAACAACAAAAATGGGTCTATATCACTTTACATGGCATCTACAATTTAATAACACAATGTACATGAGCCTGCCTTTAGTATTATTTCTCTAGATGCCATATTTCATGTGTCATGTGTATCTGAGTTTTATCTGTTACTTAGCGCACCGTGTCTTCTTTATGTGTTTTGAGTTGGTTTCTGATTTTTATGTTTTCTCCCCATGCAGTGACCTCAGAAAGTAGAAGACAGATTGAAGTCAATGGTGACTTGATATGATTTTAAGGCCTGAACAAAGCTATTAGTGGTTGCTGGGACTTTATTTTACTTGTTAGTTTTTATACAATTGAAGTGTTTTGTATTTTCTGGATCTACTCTATCCTTTTGTTTTGGTAGCAATTTTGTTATTTAGTACCAATGAGAACGTTTTATTTGAAGGGGACTAGTTTTAATTATCTGTATTTGTGCACCCAGTTCTCACTTTGTGGTTGAATTGAACATGATCTTTGAGTACATTTTCTGCATTTTGCATTTTAGGATAATTAGTACATTGATTCAGTTTTGTGAATTATTTGCATGATGACTTCAGGTAGGGTTGCCATGTTAGTGTTGAAGATTGTAGTATAAGTAGTCTTGAAGGTAGGTGTTTTTTAGCTGTTGCTATTTTGCTAGTAGTTTTGTTGTAAAATTCTTCCTTCAGCCATGGTAGGAGAATTGAAATTATTAACCTGAGAAGTGTCTATATTTGGTTGTGTTTTTAACATTCCCCATGTGTAATTTCGAAGATTGTAATCAGTGAGCCATGAAATTGAGCATGGCATACAGCTGTGTATGTCATATGGGGAGAGGGAGAGAGAGAAGTGGGGGAGAAGCGATGACCTTTAGAAGTAGGGGTGTCAAATGTGTGTTGTCTTCGTGTGACTTGCATGTGATGTTCGTGTCAAGATTCATGAAAATAAATTTAGTGTGTTTTGAGTATTGAACATTAGTTTAAATTATTTATTATATGTATTTAATAATCGTGTCAATTTTATAATCGTTTGTGGTGAATTTGTATCGGATTTGTGTCAACAGGGTAGAGTTGATACCCCTATTTAGAAGTACTTTTGAGGATGTGATGACCATTGTTAAGGAAATATGGTTAGTATTTGAATAAAATTGAACTGAAGTGGAGGACACGAGAAAACAATTTCAGATCTGTCTTCAAAGAGAATATGCACCTCCAGATGATAATTTGAGCCGGAGATTTGAGTATGGGTAAGCACGAAGGCGGAAAGAACTCAGACGTTGGCCCAAAAGATGTTAAATAAGTGAATTTCATTAACCTGCAGTAAGCAATTACAGCAGATCAGCAAAACATCACAGCATATAATAAATAAAGAAAAGGATTTATTATTTGTATAACTCGATCAAATTGTTAATTACAATCAAAATTTTCAATGAAGAATGCCTGCCTGCCTGCCTTGTATGGTGCATGTGAAGCAGCATACTCGTTATGTTCCCATGACAATTTATTTTCAAAATTTGGACGAAAATTTTCAACTAAAATGATTAGATACAATTGGCTAGCTTGAACGGCACCAAAGTAAGAATTTGCTTTGGTAAGTGGACCAAAGCTAGATTTTTTTTTGGTAAATAAAATTGAATTTTAATTGATAGGAATGAAGCTTTGCATCCAAGTGGAAAACACCCTTTTTAGTATAAAGTGAATTAGTCTTGGTCAAACTCAATTCTCATTTACTTATGAGCTAAGGCAAATATATGTTGACTAAATTATTTATCAAATTTTATATTCTAAATCAAAGCGTGTGGTTGGATCGGTGGGCAGCGCAGCACAGTTTTATCCATTTGTTAAGATAGAGGTGAATTTTGGTGTCCATCAATAGAATAACTATAATATATTTATATATTGCTTATAATAACCACCCATAATCTCATCTTTCATCATACTTCATTAATTATTTTTTAAAAAATATCATTATAACTCTTTGTTTAATTAATTATAATATTCAAATGTTGTCTATAATAACCACTTAACTTTTTTGTTTAATTATAATTAATCATTTAAATTTATTTATTCCATTCTTCTTCAAATTTTATATCTTTCTCTTTCTATCTATTTGCATATGAATTGAGTCCATGCCCGGCCCCAACTAATAAAATAGAATTGATTAATACCCATTAAAAAGAGAAAAGGCAAGGGACAAAAAAAGAAAAAAGAAAAAAAA